TATTTCGAGCGCTGATATATATATATATATATATACTCTTGCATGGTAGTCAAAAAGAGTTTCCCATAAACTGTAGTTTTAAAGAGCGCATTAATAAACCAGACCAGAAAAAGTTTAAAAACAATTTTTTTTTTTTTGAAATGATAGACTGCCTGCCCAAACCAAACCCTCAGTTGATGTAGCAGCACTCCCTCGCAAGTCAGGCTATTTGTCAGTCGTTGTAGCAGCACTCCGTTGCGAGTCAGGCTAAAAGATAGTCGATGTTGAAACACTCCCTTGTAGCAGCAGGCTATAAGATAGTCGATGTAGCAACATTTACGCATGTTTTAAAAATATTTTTTATTAAAAAAAAAAACAAAAACACCACTAGTTAAAAAAAACTTTCTAGCCGTTATTATTGCGGTTTTTAAAATTTTTTTTAAAAAACAATAAAATTTAATGTACTTCCGCATTAATTTAATTGCTTTGACATTTCGACTACAATCAAATACAGCTTAAGAGACGAGGTAATTAAAATTGTAGTCGAAAGAGACTTTTTTTACATTAAAAGACTCTTTCGACTACACTATAAGGATATATATATATATATATATATATATATATATATATATATATATATATATATATATATATATATATATATATATATATATATATATGTTAGTTTTGTTTTGTTTTTATTATTTTTAATATTATCATTACAGTTTGAAGCTGAGTTTCGAAGGTTTTCTTTAAAAAGAGATCTGCTTAAAAAGTATGAAGAGTTCTATAACCTAATTGAAAACACACATTGTTTAAAGAAAGAAACTTTTTCAATATTTTATCGACATCCTCATGATGGTGATCTTTTACCTATAAATAATACAGAAAACTTCATGCATGCCCTAAGTTTATCTTTGCCTCTTCTGAGATTATTTGTGCAACGAGGTTTGTATAGATTATTTTAATAATAGGGTCAATAGAATGTAGCAAAAAAGATAATATTTTGTCTTAATATCTTATTCTTTAAAACTTTATATTTAGCAAATAAATATTTTGTTATTTTATATGGTTCATCATATTATTAGTAAAATATTAGTATTTTTATAAATTTTTGTTATTAAAGGTTAAAGAAAATTTTAAGAAAATTAAGGTCCTATGAATGTATACCAAGGTTTTTTTTAAAGTTTATTTATTGATATTTTCTCAGGTTTTAAAATTGTATTGTTTGTTATCTTGTAATTACAGTGCTGATAATATATAGAATATACAAAGTATAATGATGTATATATATATATATATATATATATATATATATATATATATGTATGTATATATGCGGCGTAAGAAGGTTTTTAAATGTTTGAAATAACCAACTTTTAAACAAAAAGAACATTCCAATTTTTTTTTACACTGATATATATGGCGAAAAGGTTCTTCACAAAATAAAATTATTGTGATAGGAGAATGGGAACAAGAAACCCTAAAATCTTAGTCCCTCCTGCCCCAAATGTGAGAGCAACAAGTTGATGAAATATTTTTTGTACTACTATTAACTAAACTTATATTCACCAAGAAATTTTAAATTTCATAGTAAAATATTTTAGTGTTCAAAAATTATGACCATATAAAGTTTAATTAATATATACAAAAAAATAATAATAATAACAAAGTTTTTTTTTTTTTTTTTTTTTTTTTTTGTGTATATATTCATTATTCGTGATTACTAAATAAGTTGTGTTCAAACTTATTTTTTTATTTCATTCTTTTATCGGAACACATGCTAGATTTTAGTTGAATATATGCTATGACTTGGTTAACCCTTTAAACTAAGATTTTCTTATTTAGGTTTTATAATCAATATTATTCACGTAACATGTTTTTTGATTACTACTTCTCAATATTCAGTAACAACAGTTTTCTTTAAGTGAACAAATAAAATAGCAGTCAAAGCAGAAACAGCCACAAATAATTGTATAAACTAACCCAATGTAGCATCTGTTATTTACCAATAGTTTAGTGTACTGAAATATTACTTATGCTCTGAGTTTGCAGTGGCTGGATTTAAACTTGTATTAAACAATATTACAGATTTTAACATTTTTTTTTGAACTTTGAACTAGCTGAGCTATCCTACCACTAATTTATAGTTAAATGATGTAACATGTCAAATATCATTGCCAACTTCTTACTGCTGATTCCATTGTTTACCTTTATAAATCTCTTATCTGCCCTTGTATGGATTACTGTTGTCATTATACTTGGGTTGGTTTTTTAAATGATTTTTATTTTTAAGACAAAGTTAAAAAAGAAATAAATTGAGGTAGACTTATTTCAGCTGCAAAGTTCAAATCTTTACGCAATTCTTATCAATTTGCATCATTTGCTCTTTTCTACGAATATTATTATGGTTGCTGCTCAAGAAAGCCACAATCTCTTGTTCCACCACTTAAAATGTAATATTATTGTGACACCTTTAACAAAGTTGTCACAATAAGATTACATTAAGTCTCTTAATGTAATTCTTCCTTTATATTCAAATTAACTTTTATTTATCTATTTTTATTTCATACTTTTCAGGCTAACACAATTCACAGTTTTTTAAGTCTTTGGTCAACTATTAAACCAATTTTACCAAAGTAAATTGATATTATGCAACCAAATAATTATTACTAATTATTAATTAATTACTAATGTAACAACTAAAATAAAATAAAACTGCTCTACAAAAATATTTTAGTGAGGATTTATAAGTTATTTTAATTCAATTTTTGTTTAAAAGTTTTCTTCAAGTTTAGTTTTAATTTAATCAGCAAGTTTATAATTTTTGTTAGCAATTTTTTACCTATAAATCTTTTTATAGTGCTGCTACCCTCCTCTTGAGCAAGAGTTAGTTTTACATTAGAACAACTTTAGGCTTTTTTAAAACCTGAGTTATCAAAATTCATATTCATAAAGACTTTTATGAATATGATTCTACACTACAGACATAGTATTACTACAGTCGAGGAGGCTGCTTATTTTTTTAATTATAGTTTTGTTGTTTTATTTTTTCTTTTTTTTTCTTTGAAACTCTCTTTAAATCCTAAACTTCAAAATTTGAACCTTTAAACAGAACCTTTAAACAGGTAGAAACAAGCTGAGCATGATACTTCAAGAGGTGTGAGGTAGACTTAAATTTCAAATCTTTTTATTGTAAGTCAAACCTTCTCCCACTATTTTACTACCACATAATTTTCTACTATATAAAATTAATTTAAAGATAATATTTGTTATATATGTTTAAGTAATGACAATTTATATTTGTTATATACAAATGAAAATTATATTCTTATTGTATTAATATTAATTTTTAAAAGTGCTTTTTTTTTTCAGGAGATATGTCTGAACTTGTAAATAAGTTCAATCAAAGTAAGCGTGGTCTGGGTTTTAATCCATCAACAATGGTGGTAAACAAAAAATTACAGATTAGTGTTCCGAAAGATTTCAGAAGAGTGTCTGCTATTATTGACGCTGACATTTTACCAGATAGTGTACGACGTGTGAGACTGTGCAAACACAATTCTGACAAACCTCTAGGTTTCTATATTCGAGATGGCACAAGTATTCGAGTTACTGCAGATGGACTAGAAAAAGTACCTGGAATATTTATTTCTCGCTTAGTTCCAGGAGGTTTAGCTGAAAGCACAGGATTGCTATCTGTAAATGATGAGGTTTTAGAAGTCAATGGCATTGAAGTTACATCTAAAAGTTTGGACCAAGTCACTGAAATGATGGTGGCTAATAGTCATAATTTAATAGTTACTGTCAAACCTGTTGATCAGACTTATACAAGTACAAAACATAGTAAAGAGGGTGATTCTGACTATAAAGGGGGATCCATTGGGGTCAAGCCTCATTCTGGTACACATTTAGTACCACCTGAAATGGATGTTATTAATTCTGATGATGAAGATGAACCTGTTGTCAGCTATGATGGAGTAATACATGTGTGATGATAATTTAGATGTTTTTTTTTTTAGTTTTTATTTTAGCACAATAAATTATAGAAAAGTTTTAACCTAAAGCTGAACCTGAAATTCTAATGCACTTTTTTTTATTTTATAAACCAAAAGCTTTGTATGCTACATTTTCCTTCAAGATTCGTTTACATAATATAAAAAGTTGTCATTTACTTTATTTTTTGGTTTTTTGTTATGTTTCTTATCCAAAGTTTTAATAATAGGGTTTCTGATTTTTTTTTCGAACTACATTTTGTATTTTTTGTATAAAATTTTTGTTGAAAAATATTTAACATATTTTATATAAAAATAATTGAGTGATTAGTGTTCAGTTTTTGTAGGTTATATTCATTCACACAATTTGTATATGAATTTATGAATTTATTTTTTTACGATATATAATGGTTGAAATATGTGATTTTTAGTGGGTTATATATAAATTAATATTTATCAACCCTTTTTTCATTATGAAAACAATATAGAAATAATAGAAAGCCAAAATCATAAAATATTATTTTACTCACTTTGTTTACTAAAGTTTATTATTTAACAATAACAAGCTACAACAGTTTTTAACTAGATCTTGCAAAGTTTTATGTGTTTTATTTATGAATTTGTAATTGTTCATTATTTGTGTCATGAATATTTTTTTTATAAATATTGCTAACAACTCTTGTATAAATATTATATAGCAATTGTATATAAGTTACACTTTTAGTATTAAGTTTGTTTTTTGTGGCTTTTTTATAACCATTTTGTTTAAACAAATATGATCTAAAAAAAATGTCAAATTGATATTCTCTACATAGTTATTATTTTTTAAAAGTGAAAACAAAGTTTTTCATATTGTTTTTATAACTGTTCTGTGTTCTGAAGGTAATTTTTTAATGGAATGGTAATCGATAGCTACTCTGTGCTTTAAAGATCTCTTTTTTCTATTGTAGTAGTAATAATGTGAAAAATCTCATGCAATGAAGAATAATATATGTTATAAATATTTTACCCAATAATTCTTTGTTTTTTTGGTATTATTGTTTTTTATTGTTTCTTTTTTATTTTATTTTACTTTATATTATGTACTCTTTTTATATATTAAAATTATAAAATTATATAAATTTACATAATAAATTATATAAATTATATAGTAATATATAAATATAATAAATTGTATAATATAATAATATATAATTATATTAAAATGCATATAAGTATCAAACTTCATTATTTTAGTAAAAATTTTTTAAAGTAAAAAATGAAAAAAGAATCAAAAGAAGACAAAGCCCTTTTGCAGATTCGAATCGAAACTCTAAAAAGTAAATATCTTTATAGAAAATTAAGTTTTAAGCTTCTCATACTTCTCTACTTTGTTTTCATCATTGTTCATCATCATCATCATCATCATCATCATCATCATCATCATCATCATCATCATCATTATCATCATCATCATCGTCATCATCATTATCGTTATTGTCATTGTCACCATCAACATTGGCATCACCATCATCATTATGTCATCATCAAATTATCATCCTTACTACTTATTTAATACTATTTATTTTATAGCTATGATTGGAAAAATGAAAGAAAATCAATTTGGAATAAAGACTAGGTTTGTTTTGTTTTTTGTATATGTTACATGAGTAATTTTTACAGCATTAAAAGAAATTTTCTAAATGCTTAATAAATGACTATGGTTTTTGGTGCCTAATTTTTTTTTCAATTTTCTTAGAGTTAAGATAAAACAAGTTAAAATGAAATGTTACCAGTAATAATACCAGTAGTATATAAAAATGGCATAAAAAAGCTTGTTGTCACAATGCACAGTTTAGGTACCAAATAATAATTGTTTTATTCCTTTAAAATCGTATTAATAAAAAGTCTTTTTTACTTCTTTTTGTTTATTTTATAAACCAGCTAAATATAGCTCATTGCGCTTAATGAAAGAAGTTTTCAAAATTAGTTATTATTTTACTTCATATAAACTTGAGTAGAGCTTTGAGTATTTTAGATTTTCAAATTTTTTGATCAGTTTTTAAGACTTTTGAGAGAAAAAAGATAAAAAATTTTCCATTTTTCCAGAAAAGTCTCATTTCCAGAAAAGTGTTTTAGATCACCTTCAAATAGTCTTTTTTACATTAGTAGTTCAAGTAACTACCATTTCTGTTGGTAAACAGCTGAGAAAATGGAATATATAAAAATTTTTTTTTAGCTGAAGTAAATTTTTTTTAGTTTTTCTGGTATTATTGAGATTTATTAAAGTATATTAGTTTAGTTTTGGCTTTCAAGTGTTACTTGAAATATGAGTTTTACATTTAAATTTATTGTTTATGCTAGCTTATGTATATAACTCCTTTTAAATTTTTTTTTAATTAAAAATAATTCTTAAAGAATCACTTTATATAAAATACATGTGGCAAACTAATATAAAATATAAGATCTACTAAAACTCATTCTCACTTGACTCGTCATTCAGCAAAGTCTCATTCCTTCACTGTATCTGTCCCTGCATGCTTTAAAAATTTTTGTCTAGTTTTTTCCTGCACTTCAACCCTTTGGAATTCTCTCCCATCTTCATGTTTTCTCAACTCCTTAAACTTTTTAAGTCTCAACCTTTTCCTCTAATTATTTTTTTCTAGTAACTTCCAACTTAATAGTGGTTGTTTGCAAGCTTGTTAGGAGTGAATCAGAATAAAAAGATATAATTTGATTGATGTAAAAAGTAAAGCCTATGATGTACATACATATATAAATACATGAACAAACCAACAAATGAGTGTATATTAACATATACATAGATGTATTCATATAGGGATAATATATACTTGTTATATTATAATTAGACATACATTTTAGAAACAAATAGCAATTTTTATTTTTGCTTTCCTCTTTTATTTTAATTTATTTATTTTGTTGTTTTTGCTTTCTTTGTTTTTGCATAGAATTCTGGAAATTGACTTAAAACTCCTTTAATTTTCCAGAATTATCTGGATGTTTTTTTGTTATTAATTTGAAAAAAAATTTATATATTTTTACATAAAATTTTAAATGCAACAGCTTTTGCATTTAGACAAATATGTTTTTTATAATTAAAATTTTCAAGAAATTTTTGTTACAATTTTTTTTTTTTTTTTTTCTTTTTTTTTTTTTTTGCTTTTTAATTCATTCAAATTATCTTTTTCGAATATTAAAAATTCCGTTATAAAAGTTCACGAAAGTTTTTGTTGTCTGTTAATACGATCAATTTTTAATAAAATAATTTTCTGGGATTTTCATAGAAAAAAATTTCCAGGATTTGTCTTTTCACTTTAGGATTCCTTAAAATTTTTATCTCCCTAAAGCACTAAATTCCAGGGTCACCACATTCAAAAAATCTGCTAATTTTTTATATTTCATTTGCAACTATCTCTTGACCCTAAACTATGAAACACAAACTTTTTTTAATATTGCCACTCCTCAGAAAAACTGGTTGATTCAAGTAACAGGACAGGTTTTTTTTTAAATATTTTTTATAACAAATATTGCAATTAAATTGTAAAGCATTGGTTTGTATTAATCATTTAGTTAAAAATAATTATCACAATAACTTGTCAAATTTAAGTGTTGAACTGTTTAAAATAACTGTTCAAATTTCACTGTTGTAATATGTATTTAAAATGATTTTATTAAACAGGATTAATTTATTATTATGTTTTCATTTTTATTTTTACCTTTTTTTAATTTTAAGTTTTGAATAAATCAGTGGAATAGGGTTGAAGTTTGAGCCTTTCCAGACGTGTGCGCTTTTTCCACGAAAAAGTTTTTTTTATTAAGACAACTTAGTAACTGTCACAAAGTATTGTAATATTTAATACATAAAACTTTGCAAGTTTTATGTATTAAATGTTACAATACTTTGCGACAAAAACTAAGTTTCAAAAAAAAAGAAAGCAAAAACAACAAAATAAATAAATTAAAATAAAAGAAAGCAAAAATAAAAATTGCTATTTGTTTGTAAAATGTATTTGTCTAATTATAATGTAACAAGTATATATTATCCCTATATGAATATGTCTATGTTTATGTTAATATACACTCATTTGTTGGTTTGTTCATGTGTTTATATATATACGTATGTACCTCATAGGCTTTACTTTTTACATCAATTTTTTAATTATATAATTAAATTTATTTGATGGCAGTGGTTCAAATCTTACTACTATCAAATATCTGATTGTTTTTCTCTTAAATCAAATCTTTTGAAATGCTAAATTTAATAACAATGAAAAAAAATAAATATAAAAACAGTACACAAATTTTAATTATTCTTTTTTCTTTCATTTTTTTTTATTTAAATATATTTTAATATCTTATTTTGTTAATTATGCTTTTTTTTTTTTTTGCAAAGTATTAAAACAGTTCTGCAAAGTATTAAAACTTGCAAACTGCCATGATCATGTTGTCTAAATAAAAAACTTTTTGTAGACAAATTGAGACTAAAAACCACACGTGTGTCCTGGAAAGGCTTAAAGTTGGTTTTCTTTTTTTATATATATTTATAAAATTATATATTATTTTATAAATATTTGGTATATATTATTTGTTACTTATAAACTTTTCCTTTTTAATTTTAGCCTACCAGTTAAACCAGGATATCAAGTTATTCAACCATCAGCTCATGTTTTAAACTCAAAATTAATGAACAATTCTAATTTTAAAACAAACTTTGTAAAAACATCTTTAGGAGATTTTCACAACGAAACAATAAACAATATAAATTTAAAAACATATCCAGTTGATAAGTATAAATGGGTAAAAAAAAACAATTATGAAAAGAAAATTGATATAAACAGGAATACATCAAATATAAATAATGTAATTAAATCCTGTATACCAGTTACCAGTAGAAATAACTTGAAGTTTTACAGTGAAAGGAATCGCATAATAAATAAAAATAATAATACTTCTTCTGACAGCCTTTCTTTAACATCTAGATTGCCATCTTCCAAATCATTTATAACAGAGAATTCAAAATGTAGTGATGTAGCCAATATTCAAGTTAAAAAAGTATGCAATGTTGATTTGAAAAATTACAATGAATCAAGTCAGAATGCAGCTGAGAAAATAATACCACCTAAAGTTGTATGGGTGCGAACTACAGCAAAAAAACCTATGAGGACTCATTCTTTAAACTATCAAACACACTTACCAATTCAGAGTAAACCATATAAAAATACATACCGAAACGAAAATCAAATTAAAAAACAGAGTCACCATCTCTTGTCAAAATATAAGTTTGTAAGAAATAAACAACTTGTTCCTTCAGTAAGTAATTTTATGACTCATAGCATGCTGAGAAGGATTAATGAAAAAAAATTTATTTGGAGGCGAAGAAGTTTAGAAATTAAAGAGAAAAGTATTATTAAACGTGGAAGAAATACTTTTATAGTAAAACGGTTTCAAGCTGTTCAAAGAAGTAGAGATGCAGATTTGTACAGATTAGTAAGTGTTAAATTATTTTAACTATTTATATATGTATATTTTATCATATATTTAACAGGCTTTGGTGGGAATGGCCTGCAATCACACGCTGTAAATGATCATGGTTATAATTTTTTTTCTTTACAATTTGACTGTGGCTGTTTTGATGTTTTAACATTTTAAAATTTTTAAAATTGTTGTTGTAAATAACTTATAATTGTCAATCTTTTCTAACATTTTTATTTTTCGTGAAGGCTTTAAATAAAACAAAAAGTTCGTTATAATGATTGTTTAAGATAAATACATTTTGTGTAAATTAACAAAAAACATTATATATAAATTTTTTTTTTTATATAGGCATATATTTTTTATGATAAACTTAAATGTTTGAAACTATTTTTCCATGTCTTTCTAAAAATCTTTTAATTTGTTTATTTTATCAATAAGCAAAATGTTTATTAAAAGTTACAAATTGATTGTAATGCTCAACAAGCAATTAAATTTAATAATAATTAAATTAAATTGCTTGTTGGCAGTATATTTTATTTAAATCACAGGCACATTTTATTTAAATTATTAAAGAATATTATGCCTTATGCCTTTTTATTTATTAATATAACATTTTTTATGATGATTTTATAAATTAAGATGACTTAAATCTACAATTTGCATCTTCAATAGGTGCTATTTAGTTTATTTTAATACATTATTTCTTAGGTGCAAAAAACATAAATAAGAAGAAATATAGATATTAAATGGTTATTAGTCCGATTTTGATGTTATTAGTCGAATTTCGAACTATAATATTTATTATTAGAAAAAGACTACAATAATGTTTAAACAATTTTATTTTTTGCAACTTTTTTAAAAAAATAAATGTTTATATAATTTAGAAAATATTTTATGTAACATTTTAAAATAATTTCAAATAATCTTTGACAGTGCAAAAAATATCTCACAAAAACCATTAAAAATGTTACCTGCAAAAATATAAAAATTTATGTAAATGTAAACATGTAGTGAATAATAATTAAAAACAAAAATTGTGCATTTGAAAATTAAAACAAAGCTGAGCAAAGAATATAAGATAATATAGCTTAAAATTTTTTAATAATAATAATAATATGAAAACCTGCAGATATATTAAATATAAAAATATAATATAAAAATTAATAATTAATAAATACTGTAATAAGACTTACTAAATACTGTAGTAAAACAAGATAAAATTTAATCAAATGGGTGATTAATAAAAAGTTTTTCAGATGATATTACAATGATATAAGGCGTGATATAAAAATGATATAAGAATTGGGTAAAAATTTTGTTTTGAAGTAAAGTACAAATCTACAGTAACTTTGAGACCATAACAAAATTGATTTTTCAAAAAGAAAAGTTTTCTCTACAGTCCGAGTAAATCGTAATTTTGAGACTGTAACAAAACAACACAAATATACATCAACAATAAAGTAACAACATAGCTAAATCAAAGTTTCAAAAAGTAAAGCTTAAAGAAAAACAATTTAATAAAAAATACATAAAAAATTTCATAAAGGACAAATATTTTAATAAAAAATAAATCTACTATAAAAGAAGACAATTTTAGCAAAATGGGTATTTATTAAATTGAATAACATAAGAAACATTTTTTAAAGTGAGGCTTTCTCTATGGTCAAGTTAACATTCATTTGAGACCATAACAAATACACAATAAAAATTTTTATTTTAACTAAATAATTATAAATAAAATTATTAAAGAAAAATAAAACTTGAGTTAAGAAAAAATGCATATTTTATTTATGTTTTTTTAGCGTCTGGATTAGAAATTTCTTATTGATTTAATGTTTTTGTAGCTCGCAATGAGTGGATTAGGCAGAGTATTTTTAAGATCCACATCCTATTTAACAAAATTCCAGTGCTTTTTTATTACTTTATTAATAAGTTTTTCAACTTTTCCTAATGTTGTAACTGTTGGTAAAGTTCTCTCTTTTTTTATTTTTCTTTTTTAAACTTGTGTTGTGTATGTTGTAGTGCTTTTTTAAATCCTTTGTTAATTGATTAAATGTAGTAGCCTTGTATAACTAAAATTTGTGCTAGTTGCTGCAGCTCTTTTATTAGGTTGTAACATCTTATATATAATTTTATTGTATAATATTGTATAAAATAATCTTATTGTATCTTAACGCTTGGCTAATTTGGCTAAGTTTATGCTAAGTTGCTTAATGAGAGGGATAGAATGAGTTTCAATGTATCAGTTGCCTTTTTTATACTGTTGTTTCTAGCTGGCCATCTAGCTTTTTGATAATTGTTAGGTCCGTGAATTTAATTGAATTAGTAGAATTAAAAGTAAATTTGATTATGGGTCAGATGGCATTGATGAATTTGAAAACATGCAATAGTTTTTCCGGAGGCCCATGAAAAACAAAAAATATATCATCTATAAATCATTTATAGAAAGAAATGCACCTTGAAAATTAGTCAATTATTTTTTCATTACTTCTTTCCATAAATAAATTAGCATAGGGAGGGGCCATATGTGTTACCATGGTTGTTCCTGTTAATTGTAAAAAGTGATCAGTCAAAAATCGATAGTTGCTGTGATTTAGGATGGTCTCTAATATAATATCAATAAAAGCAATAATTAGGCTCCGTTATATGGCGGGGCTCTCTTTAAATAAAATTTCACTGTGCCAATACATTCAGTATGAGAATGCTTGTATACAAAGACATAACAACAGCCATGACAAGGATGTAATTGTTGGTTTCTAGTACATGAGATTGAAAGAGTTTTAAGAAATGTGTGGTATCATGAGATTGAAGGAGTTTTAAGAAATGTGTGGTATCATGAGATTGAAGGAGTTTTAAGAAATGTGCGGTGTCATGAGGTTGAAGGAGTTTTAAGAAATGTGTGGTGTCATGAGATTGAAGGAGTTTTAAGAAATGTGTGGTATCATGAGATTGAAGGAGTTTTAAGAAATGTGTGATATCATGAGATTGAAGGAGTTTTAAGAAATGTGTGATATCTTTGAAATATGCTAGTAATTGTTCAGCAACTGGTTGAATAAATTATTTTATATGTAAAAGTCATTTATGAAACTGTGTATAAAACATTACCACAGCTATAAAAAAAATATAATTTAATCAAATCTATATTGCATAAATGACTAGTCATTGACTTTTGGTAGATTATAAAATTTTTTTTTAGTTTTTTTATTGATATAAATATTTAGAGATATTTATATCAATAGAAAAATAAAAAAAATAAAAAATAAAACAAATTTAAAACAAAACAAAAAAGCATATATCAATTATTGCTGGCTCAAGAAATAGTGATAGCTGTGGTTTTAGTATATACATTGATGAAATATTTTATATAACTCCATGCCTCCTCCATAATAGTGGCTTGCGTCTGGCTTTAGGGATGTAAGTTTGAAAATAACTGCTCGAATGTATAGAATCTTAGCAACCTAAAAGCAATTTGTTACCTTGAATTGATTATTTGAATAATATTTAGTATTGTACAACAGATTAGAAAAATTGAACTAATCCAACATCAGTACTGTTCTAAATAATTATCAGTACTGTTTTTAGTCAAAATCATTACTGCTTAATGTTTAAAAAAATGTGTTTTCTTAAATATTTATTTTTATACAAAGTTTTAAAGAATTAACATTAACTTTTTCTTAAAAAAAAATAGTTTGTTAAAAAATGCTTTTAAATTTTATAGAATTCATCTCAGCTCAGCAAAAATACTAACATTCAATTAAAAAGTAAAGAAGTTATCTTGACTCGACATGGATACAACTTTAAGTTAGCTTCCAATCTGAAATCTCTTAAGAGAGTAAATTTTACAACTGCTGGTAAATGTTTATTTAATATATGTATACATTTTACAAAATATTATTGGCTAATTACTAGTTAACAATATTAACACTTGGTTACACACGATTTAGGCGGGTTTTTTTTATTATGCCATATTCTTTTATATTATTATATATGTGATATTATGATGAGTTCAAGCAATTTTTTACTTAATGCTCATTTTGGCATTAACTTGTTTTACAGATCAGGGCAGTATTTTTATCGTGATACTAGCACTAGAAAGGTTACCATCCAAGGTTTAGAAGCTCCTTCTACCCTCGCTTGCAACTGCGTATGTAAATGTGTTTTTTTATTTTTTAACAGGCCATTCTCACCCAGGTGGTCAATTAACTGTAAAACTGCAACCACCCTTTCATAAAAGATTAACACTTCAAAAGACATCAAAGTTATACTTAGCAAGGTATTCAATTTTAATTAAATAGCAAGAAATCTTTTTTCCTGTTATAAATAATATATATTTTTCCTGTTATAAATATATATACAGTTATAGCCAAAGTATTTATATATGTTTAGATAGATATAGATATATTAATGTAGATACAGATAGATGGATATAAAATGGATAACATGTACCTAGGGATGCAATTTCCCAATATATTTTGTGCACTTTAACTCTTAAAATGTGCACTTTGAATTTCAAAAAAAAGAAAAAAAACAAAGAATAATAAAAAAATTTATTGCAGCCCTAACCTAAACCGTCAGTTAATGTGGCAGTAACTTTTTTGTATGTTCTTACTAAATCAGTCAATGTTTTGAAGTCTCTGTAGTAGTGATGAACCGAAACAGGAAATATGCCAAAACTGAAATTTCGGGTATACTAGTTTAATACTAAAACAGAAATCATCATTTCAAAAAATATTTTACCGAATAGTTACATCCACAAAATATTACCTTTATTCACTTTCTATTTAAAATGTTTAAACCAAATTGCTTTTTTTCAACAAAATGTTATCAAGGGTTATATTACCTGATTATGCTGTTTATATAAATCAGGCTGGCTTGATTAGCCAGGCTGACTAAAAAATATAAAAGCTTAAAAAAATAAATGTTTACATTTAAATTTAAATTGAATTATGTTTTTATTTTTATTTAGTTGGTTGTTTTAAAAACAATCAAGAATGACTTTGAAAAGAAAAATAAGCGTGATTTATTTTATCCAACCAGCTACATTCATGAGCAAAAAAAATGTCTAAAAATTTCACTTTTTTCATGAAAAACATGGGTCCCATTGAAATTTAGTGAGATCTCAGTTATCTGGGCTAGCCTGTTTGTCATGAATACTAGTTGAATTTTTATAGGTAGTTATTAAACATGGCGAGATCTTGTCTAAGTGAGCCAATAAAACTAACCAGGCTAGCCCACCTCATATAAACAGCTCCTAAGTATAATTTAAGTAGTTTGTAAACGACTTAAAATTTAGATTGGTAAATGGTAAAAATGGTTAAGTCATACAAAATTGAAATTTCGGTTTTCGGTATGTTTTTCAACGGAAATTTTACCAAATTTATAAAAAGTACCAAACCAAAATGGCGGTATTAATTCTAATTTGAAATTTTGGCCAAAACCGAAACGGAATTTTGGTCAATCACTATTTTGCAGCTCCCTATTTTAGTATGATGTCATCAGTGTTATACATACACATGTATGTAAGCATATATATACATACATTCATACATACATAGAAATTTATTTATTTTTAACTATTCTTAATTTTTTTTCTTTGTCTGGAAAACTGTCTATATTAAAGTTAGCATTTTAAAAGTTAAAGTGTGCAAAATATATAAGAAGAGTTACAGTGATAGTAAAAATGGTAATGTATGTATACTTAGATCAGTATTTATATATACTTAGATCAGCACTCTGACATCATGCTGAAATAGAGAGCTGGGGGGTGAGGCTTTAGTACATATATCAACTGAAATAGGGTACTACATTAGTTTGAGCAGCTATAAGTTTTTTCTATTATGTTTCATTTTATTTAACTTATTATATAGGATATAATATATATATATATATATATGTGTGTGCGTGTGTGTGTGAATATATATATATATATATATATATATATATATATATATATATATATATATATATATATATATATATATATATATATCTGTGTGTGTGTGTGTGTATATAAAATTATATATGTATAAAATTTAACCCAATTTAACTATTTTCAGCTGTGTTCTTAAAAAAACCATCAACAGAGTGCAATGTCAAAAAAAAGGGCAGCGAAATTACTGTTTATTTTACTCCAGATTTGGTAAGTATTTTGAATGTTTAAAGTTAATTAAAAAAAAAAAATTATTTTATATTTATTTTATATTATATAAGATACTTGATGTTGGTATATTTGTTTACATAGTTGAATGCATTTACATAGTTGTATGTGTTATAGTTGTATGTGTTATAGTTGTATGTGTTATAGTTGTATGTGTTATAATTGTATTTGTTATAGTTGTATGTGTTAAGAAATTATACTTACTATACTTTTACAGGCAAATGTAAACGAGGGGAAAATTGTCATTATATACATGATCCTGAAAAGGTTGCTGTGTGTACAAGGTGGTATAGCTAAAATTATTTTAAACAACATTTGCAAGTTTAAAAGAATATTAGTATTAAATTATTGAAATTTTATTTCTCAGATTTTTAAGAGGAACATGCAAAGATAAAAACTGTATTTTTTCACACAAGTTTGATCCTAACAAGGTAAATAAAGATATTTAATTAAGTTTATTCTTATAATGGGAATATATATAGAATAGTTATAATCAGGAATCGGTTTGCTTGACTTAGTATTAAAGCTCACAAGATAAATAATTTACGCTAGGTCTTATAAACGCAGATCTAGGCACTCTAAAAATTAAAGAGATTTTGAAAGATAAGATACATTTAATGCAAATAAAAATACGGTGATCCTAATGTAATGATGAGTTTTTTTTAGATGCCAGTGTGCTCATATTTTCTTCTGGGTCAATGCACGCGTGACAAATGCCCATATAGACATGTCAACGTCAGTAGCTCAGCTCCCATTTGTGAGGCATTTGTCAAAGGGTTTTGTCCAAATGGTGAAAAGGTAATAAATGATTTGTTTTCAAGTTTAATCTATATAATACAATATCGGTTGCTCTCAGTTGATCGATTCAACATCAGTTGCAACCAACCTAAATTTTTCATTAAATATTTTTGCTTAGTGTACAAAAAAACATACATTGGAATGTGAAGAGTTTTTGCGTAGTGGCATTTGTAGCAAAAGAAAGTCATGTAGATTAGTACATCGCATCAAAATTAAAAGAGGTCGAACTGTATCTGTATCTGGACTTCGTCGACCTCAGGCATTCATAAAAAATAAATCAAGTGAAAGACTTGGCGGAGTTCTTTCTCCATTAAAAGATAGCGGTTTGTGAATTTTAGTTAATCTTGCTAAACTTATCGTTTTAGAAGTTTCATTAATTATTATAATTATTACAATTATTATTAACTATCAATTATTAGTTAGAATTAAAATTTAAATCAAAGTTTAAATTATTTTTTACTGACTGTATACAACAGCACTGTTATGTGTTTATTGAGACGAATGACGAGTGGTACTCAGCGAAGAAAAATTTTTATTTTTTCATTTGAATTGCTTCTTAATTAATAACACTCCTTTTGCAATTTCTTTTTAATAGTTTAAGAAATATTTTTTTCGTTTTTTTTTTTAAATTTTAGGTCGAGCGCATCTACTTCCAAGCTTTTTAAATCTCAAGAGGTAACATGCATTGCTGTATTGCTAGGTTTTTTTTTATGAATATTTTTTCTATACAATTTTATTTTTTTGTTAGTGATTCGATTGGTTCAATAAATAAAGCGAGTTCGTCTTCCTTAAAAAGTCTATTTGCGCCAGATGCCACTGTGGTTCCATTGAATAGTTATACTGACGACGCTACAATATTAAGTAACGCTGACGTTGATAACCAACAAGTCGCAGAAATATCGGCAAAAGACCATATTGAGTTTATTCCATTAAAATGCTCATTTTCAGACGAATCTGATGATGAAAGTGAAAATGAACCTCGATATACAAAGCAGTTTTCTTTTAAAGAACAAGATTTTATTTCATTGGAATGAGGTCTGTATAAATAATTCTTTTCTTTAACATTTCTAAAAAGAATAATTTTGACCTAGTTAACTAGTTACTTTAATTCTTTTTTTTTTTTTTTTTTTTTAATTTCTATTATTACTGACAGAAAAATATGTTTATATAATAAATGAAATTTAACAGTTAAAAAAAAAAAATGCGAGAGAATAATTCTTGTAAAATATTGAAAACGAAATAATAATATTAAAAGCACGTAACTCAAGATTTTCTATTTATGTCTTCAAATAAATAATTTATACAATCCTTAAAAATATCGTCTATGATCCTTTCAGCCCTATTCTCTTCCTAGCCCATAATTGCGACGTAGACGCATTGAAGTTATCGTTACGAGGTCTATACTTGTACAGGGTTACAAAAATAAACTTAGGATTAGGTAAAAAAAAAATTTTTTTTTTTGTGCTTTATAAAATTGCGCCGTTTTTTCGTTTTGTCCAAAAACCGAATCAAGTAACCATAAAAATAACTACACAATTTATAAAAATCAACTTACCCCTCCTCCTCCTCCCCCCCTCCCCCCCCCCCCCCCCCCCCCAAAAAAAAAAAAAAAAAAAAAAAAAAAAAAAAAAAAAAAAGAAAGAAATTACTGTTCTGACTTGCTTATGAAGCGTAAACATAGTTCTAAGCGAGTTTGGCAAATAATGAAAAAAATTGCTGGTAAACATAAGAGAAGCACAAACTCTTATGCTGGCTGCATAGAAAATACAAAATAAATTAGTTCAACTAATAAAATCGCCTGCGAATTTTTTTTCAACAATAGGAAAAAATTTATTAAATGCTGGTATCAGGTTTCCTAAACTCTGTGGTAGCTCTCAGAGGGACTGATTCCATCGACAGCTGTAAAATATCAGAGTACTAACAGTGCCATGTTGCGCATGGATGGAATCCCTGTTCTTACTTTTGGTGTGCATTGCCGAGTCCACATTTGGAGCCCTTTGTTACGGCTTAGGGTTTAATAATAGTAATGAGGCATTTGCTTGGGTTATTAAAAAGTATACTGAGTACTATCTATTAGACACTAGATAATTGGTATCGTATAAGTCGATACCGAGAAGAATGGTCTCGTATCGCGTGGTACCGCTTACTAATGTCATCCACCTTGGTATCGGTTCGATACCAAGGTGGATGGTCTCGTATCGTGTGGTATCGCTTATGTACCAATATCGATACTATCAGTATCGATTCGATGCCAAACAATATCGATAAAAAAAAAAAAAAAGAATCGTATAGTATTGCATGGTCTCGAATCGAGACTCAATAAGACAAAAAAAAGTTAAAATGTGACTTGATGAATTTTTTTATTAAAAAAATACAAGTACAATTGCTTTTTAGAGATTTAGTTATTGTTATCTACAATACTTTGGCTATCGTCCATTCGTTGTTTTTTCCTTTTCTGTACTTTCGTTGGTATTTTAGGATTTTCTTCTATTAATATTGGCAAAGATAAGTCTGATTCATGTCCTATATCACTTTTCATTTTCTTGTTCGATGGACCATTTTTTGATATAATTTTTATATGCGGTATAGTTAAGCATTATAAATACAAGCTTATCTGCCTTGTCGATATTGTATCTACAATCAGCGATAAGAAGGCCAGAAGCAGAAAATGCTCCTTCAGATGATGCAGAGGTTGGTGGAATTGCCAACCAGAATCTTGCAACACCTGAAAGAATAGGAAGTACAATTGCATGCTGCTTCCGCCATGCTAAGGTGTCAGTTTTACCTGGATTTTTGGATCTTATTGTTTTTTAATATTTTTCCATTTCTAGTTTAATAGGAGGGTTTTCGAGTATACGATTGGAATTAGTATTTTCCTTATAATTTGCTAAAATAATATTATATTCATTTTTCTCTCAACCTTGTGCATTATTAGCTCCGGAACTGTTACTAGCGTTATTATTACTGGAGTTTGAGACTGAAAATGAAGAAATCTCAAAGTTTTCTTTGGTTGTAGGACGGTTTTCAACTAGTTTTTGAATATTTTCATCGTCAACATCAAGAAGATGTCTACGGAAAAATGGATAAAGGTAATGTTCTAGTGCAATGCGGTTAATTTACGGCCTATGTCTGGGAATCTCTTGTTTAGTCCTCCAAGCATTTCTCTACTAATTTGTTTTTCCCAGAGTAAGATGATTATTTTTTTCTTTCTCGATGAAGTTGATAAGTGCTGTTACTTTCCACAGTGACATTTCAATTCGGATCTCTGTGTCAGAAAATAAAAAAACTGATAATTCTTAAACAGATTTTAGCACTGGAACAATAGCTTCAAAGAGAAAGAACTGTTTATCTGTAGGTACGGTTTTCTTCCAATCATTACCTTCTGTATCGCGTAAGTATATGATGGGAACCGTCAGAACTACTAATTTTTTTTTTTTTGTTTTGTTATTTAGGTGCCCCAAGAAGTCCGTACGGTCTTGTCACAGAGCACCACGGAAGCGCATTTAACCAGGAAGTTCACGCCTCCTTCCTTACTGTGACGCGAAATATGTCCAAAGCTCGTTTCGAACCTGGAATCTCTTGCTTATAAAGTAAGTGCTCTAACCACTGCGCCACGGCTGCACTAATTGACGCCGATCTTAAAGTGGCCACTTTTTTTGTAACCGCTTTTTTCGGGAGAGTTTTGAAGGCTGCATCTTTTGCGGATCCAGAAAGACCTGCCTCGATTACGTTTAATTTTTCATCTACTTGGGATCTCCGCTCGTCTTCTTTCTTTTAAAGTTCGATGAATAACTTTCTATGTTGTGTTTGAATATGCTTTCGCCAGTAGTATTTGCTTGCTTTGTTGCAAATTTATATCCAATAAAGCAGGTTTTTCACAGAGCAAATTCTCCTAAAAATGTATAATACAGTTTCATAACAAATAAAAAGGTTTTATTTTTTTTTTATAATTTTATTAAAATTAACAAAGAGCCAGGACGCTTTGAACTCACTTGGGGCCTGGGATAAAATTAAATTTAGGGGCATTTACTGTAAATTTTACATCTAAAAAATGTCAAAGGAGTTAAATAATTTCAGAAATAATATTACCAAAAAAAGAGCCTTTGATAGGCGTGAATTTAATTTTTTTTTTTAATTAGTTAGTAGGTATCTACATATGAAACAAAAAAATTTAGAGTGGGCAGACATACAACCTAGCGGTCAATTTAGCACACTGTGGTTTGTGCGTTCTCCCTAAAAATCATTCGATTTATAAATTATTGCTCCATCAATTAAATTAAATTTTTTTAAATCTTAATAGTTAATAAACAATAATAGTTATAACATAAAAACATTAAAAATAAACTGCATTTTTAATGAAAAAAAAACTAAAAAAATTAACTCCTTCGGAGAGACTTGAATCTAGGGGTCCGGGTGCAATGACCATAACTTTATCCGCTTGGCCTCGCCAACTTCTCATGAGAGAATTAAGTTATTATATATAAAAACAATTCTGCCGGTAGTTAATCTCAGAATTATTTCCCGACATTGACGGCAATTACCTTTTGAGATAAAGTAAACAATACTTAGTAAGTAAGTAAAAAATATAGTTAAGTTAACTATATTTTTCTTGAAATAATCCCAGATTAAAGATATTGTAAAATGCATAATGAGTGAAGATTAGTTTTCTTTAATAACTAAAGTATACTAATGTTTAATTGTTTAAAACTAAAGTTTAGTTGTTGAATGTTGACGACAGAACGAAAGACCAGGCGAGAATTACGATACCGAGAGAGATTTAATTAAAGTAACGATACTAGATGAGAAATTAAAATATGGATGCGATATCACACAATTAATTCCGAAATCAATTCCCTTTGAACAATAAATTCTAATACTCGTTTAGAATAATCATTAACGATTGCATCGCAAGCGATATCCTTTAGAAGTATATGAAAACTCTCTTTAATGATAGTTACAAATTTAATTCCTTTTGAACAATCTTTTTAATACTTGTTTAGAATAATCATTAACAATTGCATCACAAGCAATTCCCGTTGGAGAATTATATGAAAAACTCTCTTTAATGATTGCAAAACTATTCCCTTGGAGAATAATTCCGCACAGAAAATTTTCGCCTAAATGGAATAAAAATTCAATAGAGTTGGAATAACGAGAAACTACACACAGCAGAGGCGGATCCAGGTCATTGTTCTAGGGGGGTATTCCGATCAAAAAAATAAATAAAAAAATAAGGTTTTAGGTTTTTTTATAATAAATCAACTGTTTCATTTGATCATCTAGAATGATTTTAAAAAGGTTATAAGATAGTTTGCTAATAAACATGCTAAATGGTTATATAAATACTTTTTTTTTAGAGAAAAATAATAAAATGTTGAATTTCAACTTTTTGTATTTTTTCTTATTTTTTAATTTTATCAATAATAGTTTGACATTTCTTACTTAGAGAGGTTTTAATCAGGATAGAAAAATATGTAGTAACGATAACAGATGAGAAATTAAAATACTGAAGTGATACCACACAATTATTTAAATTAAAACAAAGATACCAGATGAGAAATTAAATAATAAACATGATGTCATACAACCATCTTTGAGAATTTTTTTAATAAAAAATGAGTCAATTATATACATCTCATTTATGATACGAATTTACTATTTGAAATAACTAATCGTTTATAAAGATAAAATGCAAGATCTCATGACGACCCGAGTTGCAATGCCAAATGATACTATCGGTACCAAACAATACCAACATAACCGATACGTTCGATAACAGTATCGCCTAATCTCGATATCGATACTGTAAGGTATTGCACCAATGCACAACAATAAATCGAGACTCGAGAACGATTATCTAGTGTCTACTATCTATGCTTTGAGTCAAATTCTTTAACAAATTTTAAAATAATTAAAGTACCAAAAACTATAAAACACAAAAAACCACCATCATCACCAAATTATCTAAACCTATCATTCACTAATATTCGCGGTCTTCGAAGTAACTTTTCTATTGTTGAATCTTATCCCTTGAAAGTTCACCAGATCTACTTGCTTTTTGTGAGACTAATTTGGTTTCTGCTGTCTCATCTTATG